TCATGAGGTCGGCATTTTGGAGACTTAGTGTTACCAAGAAAAAAAATTTTAACTTGGTTTTAATTTCTTCATACATCGTCAGGTCGGCATTTTGGAGACCTGGTGTTATATACCAAGAAAAAAGTTTTTAACTCGGTTTTATTTCTTCATTAATCATGATGTCAAAAATTTTAAGGACTGCATTGAAATATCCCATAAGTGCCCATGGTCGATCAATCCCTGAAGCTAAACTGCAGAACTCCCTCCACAGATCAATACAAAATTGTGGATGAGGGCTAGCATATACGAAGGTACAGAACCACTGAGAATCACCACGTCTAACCTTGATATGTATAAATTGAGACGATTGAGTCACAATATCTAGATCCCATTTCTTGGAGTCCCATAAACACCAGATATCGCCTGCTTTCCCATGAGTATCCACAATATGAACACCATCCAACTTTATACGACTAGCAACTTGTTTGGCCCTCCTGCCATTGATGTGAGTTTCGAGTAAACAAAGCACACCCACGTCATACTCCTTTATGACATCATTCATCAATGAAGAAAACCCTTTTGAACCTGCTCCCCTACAATTCCATGACATCAAATTCATTGAGAATTATTGTTGGGGTTGGGCACTGAATCCCAAGCAGTATCTAATTGCACATCTGCAACCATTCCTTTAGAGGAAGCCTCAACATTGTTATCTTGAAAGCTTCCATCATTAAAATGATTTCGTAGTGCTTTCGCAAAGGCCAGCGTAGCTTCATCTAGACCAACAACATGCGTAAATGCACTACTCAAGTCCAAACTAGAGTTCTTATTATAGGAGGTCGAAGATATGTCTTTTAGCCCTTGTAGAACTTTCCTTGTGTTCTCCTGTTGATCCATCCTTGGGGAAGAATAATGATGGTGTGTTGATGAAGAGGGCTTTACAAGGGTAATTTCCTGGTGAACAGGCATACTAGACATATTGGAATGATGATGTATCATCAAGTGTTTCTTTTTATGCCCAGAAAGGTTCTGATTGGAAGTGTTGCCACGTTGACGTTGAGGATTCTTTCCTCCTTCTTGATTGCGAATCTTATCCTGGAATGAAACTTTTTGCATGGGCCCACCATTATGCTTATCATGCACATGCAGATTCTCTACTACCTGATTGTTCTGGGAAGGGGTCATATCTGTACCACCTTGTGAGATAACCGTTCTCGCTTTAGAAGTAAGATTTTTTCCTGATTTTCTTCCATGTTTCACCAGCATCCATGGTCCGTAAAGCTCTTTCGATTTTGGGCCAGAGTCGGTAGTTACCAGCGTACCTTTCGCAACTGGCTTCAAGCTGCTTGAGCCTATTTCAGTGCCTATAGTTGTGTTAGAGGGAAGATATATGCATGGATTGTTCCATCGTAAGGGCTTTGTGGAGGTCATTCTTCTCCCTATTATGCCCAGTGTCCATCTCCGTGTCCACTGTTCCTGTTGTCTTCATTGTATTCTTAGCACATTGATTCTGTCGATGTCCATACTTCCCACATGAAAAGCATATTGAGTGATGTCCCTCATATTCCAGCTTTAAAACATGACCCATGATGTCAATCTTTAACACCAGCTTCTTATTCAGATTAATCTCCATGCAAATTCGTGCAAACTTGCCTCGTGAATGAATGGAGGTTAGCTTATCAATTTTGAGCATGGTTCCCAATTTGTTTCCTACCCTCCACAAGAAACGATCATGATACAATTCGATAGGCAAACCGGGGATACGAATCCAAGCAGCAATCTTTCTCACTTTAGTTGTAGTGACAATGAAGAAAGGCCTCCATCTCTAAACAACAATATAATGATCAGCAATTTTCCAAGGTCCCTCATAGAGCGCATGTCTATAATCCTCCTCCTCCTTAAACTGCACCAGAAAGTAATCATTGGGCATATCAATGATTCGTATTGCACCATTCTTAGCCCAATCACGATGAGTCTTGTATTCTAAAGCTTTGAAAGAGACATGCCAGCCCAAAACATTGATAACCAACGCATTCTTCCAAGGGGCACATCATTCCTCAAACTCCTCTTGGGAGATTTGGATCTTTGGACATGGGTCATGACCAATATTTGGATATGTCTTCCTAGTGTGACCAAGGGTGTGACAATAGAAACAATTTTTTACACGATTATGTTGTTCTCTAATGTCCATCTCTGTTCTAATCTTGCTAGACTTTGACCGACCCTTGAAAGTTCTCTTGAGTTCTTGATTTGGCCACAAAGTTGAAAGAAACGCAACATCCGAGAAAAGTTTGACCTGCTAGGAGATTTACAGTAAGGCTAAATGAAATGTGGTATGATTGCAACAAGTTCTAGAAATGTATACGAAGGACAGTTTGGAGAGCTCCGACATGAAAATTATTAGCCTACTTACACTGGTCCAACTTTGTGGCCAAATCTAGAACTCAAGGAAATAATACTATTTTTGCAGAGTTGCTATTTAGGTAAAAAAAAAATTTAATAGTATTATTTGTGTAAAAAATTCAAAATTATTTAATATTTTCTTTCATTATAATTTAAATCAACAGATAAAATAATTTTATGATTATCTATCAATTTGAATTAATCAAACAAAGTATTAAATAATTTTTAAATTTTTTAAACAATTGTAAATTTAATCTATATATTAAAAGCTTTAAATTCAACTGTTAGATCATTAAAATTTAATATAAAATATAAATTATTAAATAAAATAAATTTAGGTAAACTTACCTCCAAAATAAACGGATATAACTAAATAAATTTATTAAAATTCATTACAACAATAAAGATCAATGGTGGCGGAAACTGAATTCATGATCAATATTTGGATATGTCTTCCTAGTGTGATTAGGGGTGTGACAATAGGAACAATTTTTTACACGATTATGTTGTTCTCTAATGTCCATCTCTGTTCTAATCTTGCTAGACTTTGACCGACTCTTGAAAGTTCTCTTGAGTTCTGGATTTGGCCACAAAGTTGAAAGAAACGCAACATCCGAGAAAAGTTTGACCCGCTGGGAGATTTACAGTAAGGCTAAATAAAATGTGGTATGATTGTGGCAAGTTCTAGAAAGGTATATGAAGGACAGTTTGGAGAGCTCCGACATGAAGATTATTGACCTACTTATACTGGTCCAACTCTGTGGCCAAATCCATAGCTCAAGGAAATAATACTATTTTTGCAGAGTTGCTATTTAGGTAAAAAAAAACTTAAAATAGTATTATTTGTGTAAAAAATTCAAAATTATTTGATATTTTCTTTCATTAATTTAAATCAACAGATAAAATAATTTTATGATTATCTATCAATTTGAATTAATCAAACAAAGTATCAAATGATTTTTAAATTTTTTAAAAATTGTAAATTTGATCTATACATTAAAAACTTTAAATTCAACTGTTAGATCATTAAAATTTGATGTAAAATATAAATTATTAAATAGAATAAATTTAGGTAAACTTACACCCAAAATAAACGGATCTTATATATATATATATATAAACTTGAGAAGAATCCCAAGAAACAGCAAGCAAAAACAGTAAAAGAAATGTCAAAGACTGGCCAAACTTTACTAACTCATACCACATGATTAGCTTCACCCACGCAAACCTTCCACCAACTCCGTTAAAAGATACGATGCTATGAACCAAACTATAGCTATATGAGAGATCTCAATACCATTAGATAGCAGCTGTATAGCAATGTTGAAATCGGGTTCCACAATCAGATTTAAATATTTTGTTGCTGGATGTGAATACACGTTTTTTCACTTTAAATTCTTTTAAAAAAATTTCAAACTCTCAATTTCTTATCTTGTCAATATCTATTAATAATAAAAAGGTAAGAAATTTACTTTTATTTCATGAAATTGTTTTTCTCAAACCCTAAATTCTAAAAATTTAAGACTTAAGAATTATGATTTAAAATTTAAAAATATATAAATTTTAACAAAATTTAAAAATTATTTAATATTCAATTTTATTAAATCAAATTGACAAATATTAATAACACAAAATATTTCACGTCAATTTCCATTAATCAAATAATACATGCATAATAGGTCAAATTTAAATTTTATTTTTATAAAATAGACAACTTAAAATATGATCTATTCTTATCTTTAATCATAGATATAATAGTTTCTTATGCTTACCTTCAAAAATAGTATTGTACTTGCAATATAAATAAATAAATGACATAAAATTAAAGATACTTGATTAAGATTTTATATATATAAAAAAAAAATTTAAGCTAAAGTTTTTTATAATTTTAAAAGGTTTTGTAGGCATTTAATATTTTTTTTAAAAATTTCTTCAAAATTTTTTTAGAAATATAATTACTTTTTAAGATTTTTTAAAAGACTTATAATCAAAATTTCGTAATAATAAATTTTAATAATTTTGTATTATAAGAATTTATAAAATTTGAAAGAATTTTATTAAATTTTAAAAGATAATATAGATTTTTAAAATATAATATAATAAATTAAAAAATAACAAAGTTTGAATAAGGATAATAAAATTAATATAAATTTTAATCTTTTATTAAATAATTAATTTTAATTTCATGTCTTCTAAAGAAACATTTCTCTACATACAGTTCTCTATGCATTTATATTTTATCATTCATATTATTCAATTTGAACAAGATTTTAAATTCATGTATTCATTAACGGATAAAATTAACAAAAATATATTCAAAATTTTATATTTTAACATTAAATTTTATTAAAAATAAAATATTAGTTAAATTTTAATAATTTTTAAATTTCAAAAACATATAATATTTAATAATTTTAAACATTTAATAATTAAAATAAATAATTATACATTAATATTAATAAATAAAAATATTGATGAATAAGAAAAAAAAAAAAAAGATTGCTAAGATAGAAACTTTTTCATTCTGCTAGCTTATAAAGGAGATAGGAACACATGTCGGTTCTGTAACACACGTGTCTTGTAATGTGCCTACAATTCTGCCACAGTGATCTCCACCGTAACCGTTTTTATTTGCTCCATCAACTTGCTTCCTCAATAACATTTTCCTTGTCATTCCTCGCTCTTACACATAACTAAGACCATTGCAAAGAAAGAAAAATAGTTATGGGTTCAGAAACCTTTCTCGAAGTTATATTAGCAATCTTGCTTCCTCCTGTTGGTGTTTTCCTTCGATATGGCTGTGCTGTATTTACTCTCCCTCTCTCTCTCTCTCTCTCTTTTTTATTTACTTTTTTTCTATTTAATGTTTTCATAGGGTTTAGTATTGATTAATTGATCCATTTTTTTTTTATTAATTTGTTTTAACAATGCAGGTGGAGTTCTGGATTGATCTGGTTCTGACTATACTGGGATATATACCAGGGATTATTTATGCCATTTATGTATTGGTTGGATAACTCTAATGTATACCTTTATTATGTATAAGTATCTTTTATTTATAATATCTGAATTTGTTTTCTGTCATTTGAGTTTCAACCTTTTCATTTTTCATTTTTTTCTATCGACTATGGGAGGAGGTAGATAGAAACATTTAATGTGTTAAATATAATTAAATTTCCACGATTTGTTACCTTTTAATATATTATGTATTCATTAAAGATTTGTTGTTTCATTTTAAATTATTCAACGTGATTCAGATCGAAATAAATGTATGCAATTTATTTCGTTTTTCGCCTTTTAATTATCATCTGAAGTTGTTAGTTCGGTGACCAAATGGAGAAGTTGTTTGTTAGGGAGGATAAATCCCACATTCCATTGTGCATATTGCTATATAATTAAAGTTTTCTTTGAATTTTCATCTTGCAGAATTGTGTAATACCTTTTTTATTTCTATATTTGTCACTGATTTTTCAGGTAATAAAGACTTTTATGCAATAATATTTCCCAATTAGTCTTTTCTTTTTGTCGCCTAATGTTATGTGATTAGTTCCTCCAATCTAATGATTGACCGAGAGCACCATTAAAAAAAATCTTATTTTATTTAATCATAAAAAAAATTAATATAATAAAATTGTAGCATTCACTTATAACAGTTAAAAGAGGAAAGAAAAGTTGATTTTATGGAGAGAAAAATTAAATTTTTACTTTCTTTTCACTTTTTCTTACATTTAAATTTCATATTTCTTTTTTTCATTATTCCAAACAAGCAGTTAAATAAGTCTTTTAAATATAGTTATAAAAATTGACTTCGATTGGTCCGATCAAGACCAATTCAATCGAGAACCAATCGTCAAACAGGTTTGAGTCTCTGATCATGAATGGATCGGACATGTCATCAATCTAATGTAAATCAAAATTATTTGGCCAGTTTTACGATTAAAGCGATGAACCAATGTTTTCAGTTTAGACCGATTTTTAGTTTGAAACTTTTTTGGACGTATTAGCATTCTACACCACATCATAGTAGAAGAGAAAAAGGAAAGGAATGCGAGAGAGGAAAAGAAAAAGGAATGCGAGAGAGGAAAAGTGAGTTGAGAGAAAAATGAATCTCATTAACCAAGATGAATGAATTCTACGTCTTGAATATGTACATACAATGCTATTGAAGTACATCAGTAAAAGGAAGAAAAATTAGTTACAACTTAACGAGCATAAAGTCAACTAACAAAATTAGTTTTGCAATCATGTGGGATCAATGAGACTTTTATCCTTATTGTCTAATAATTTCCCACAAGCTTGAGCATGTATATGATACATGTTCAGCTTGGATAAATTCTCATGAACACTCGTGAAAGAAACGCGGATACAATGGTTTTGTCAGTATATCAGTTACTTGACCAAAGGAAGGAACGGGTAAAAAATGAATAAGACCTTCTTGAAGCTTTGTCCGAACAAAATGGTAGTCAATTTTTATATGTTTTGTTCTCTTATAAAATGTGAGATTCTTTGTTATATATATAGATTTATTATCACAATATGTTACAAAGGGAGTAGAAATCCTAGTGTACAAATCATTACATAAATATTGTAACCATTGGAGCTCACAAACAAGTAATGCAAGAGCTCTATATTCTACTTTTGAAGATTGAGACACTATAGATTGCTTTTTAGATTTCCAAGAAATCAAAGAATTTCCCATAAACACGTAATAATCAGTGGCTGACGTTATGGAGTTAATGCAAGTACCCCAATCTGAATTAGAAAATGCTTTGATAAAGAGTTGATTATCGCTTTGGAAAAATAAACCAAGTCCTGGACATCCTTTTAAGTATTTTAATACGCGATGAGCTGCTGTCATATGGTGTTCACGTAGAGCAGAAACAAATTGACTTAGCTTATGAATTGCAAAACTAATATCAGGCCTAGTGTGAGTAAGATATAACATACAGTTAATCAACCTTCTATATTCACCAGGATTCGAAATAAGTGACCCTTCTTCATCAAATAAATGACAAGATGGCTCCATAGGAGAAGTGGCAGGTTTGCAGGCTAATAAACCACTATCAGAGAGTAGATTTAAGCAATATTTTCGTTTGTTGAGAAAAAGTCCAAAGGGTGAGCAACTTATTTCAAAACCTAGAAAATATTGGAGAATACCAATATCTTTGATGCTGAATGAGCCATGAAGATGAGACTTAACACGTTAAATTTCTGGAAGATCATCACCTGCCAACACAATATCATCAACATATACAAGCAAAGCTGAAAAGGAGTGATCAGTTTTGCAAACAAATAAAGAGTGGTCAACTGCACTCTAAACATAACCAAGTTGAGTCAATGTCTGGGTCAGTTTTGAATTCCATTGCCTACTAGCCAGGTTTAACCTATACAGAGACTTTCTAAGTTTACAAACTTGCTTTGGATGTGAAAGAACTAGACCAAGAGGAGGGGTCATGTAAATTTCTTTATGGATCTCCATGAAGAAAAGAATTATTCACATCTAACTGATGAAGAAACCAACCCTTAGCACTTGCCAAGGACAAAATAAAATGAATGGTAGTAATCTTCAAACCTAGAGAGAAAGTCTCAAAATACTCAAGACCTTCAGTATGAGTATATCCCTTGGTAACCAAACGGGCTTTGTATATATCAATAGAGCCACTAAGTTTATGCTTAGCTTTATAAATCCATTTACACACAATAGGGTGCTTCCCTCGAGGTAAATCCACCAAAGACCAAGTTTCATTCGATTCAGAGCTGTAAGTTCATGATGCACTATTTTTTACCAATAATCATGTTGAAGAGCTTCTTTAAAGGATTTGGGCTCTTGGATAGATGAAATATTAGAATAAAAATATGAATATGTAGAAGAACAATTATGGTAAGAAAGATAAGTTTGAATAAGATATCTAGTACCTGAAGAATGATTGGTAGCATCCTTTGAGGAAAAGAAAATAGTGTGATAGTCCTTTAAGTATCCTGACTTTTGTTTAGGACGAGTACAAACTCTAATTGGTTGAGGTTGTATATTATAATTTTGATATTGTGAAGTAACAATATCATTTGAGTGGGATGAATTATTAGAATCATTAGTATTATTACTAGATGACAAAATAGGTTCTGAAATAGAAGGGACAATATCTCTAATAGCTATAGGGACTATATATGATGTCATTATCATAAAAGTAGGAAAAGTAGGCACAATTTTAGATATATCAACTTTATCTATGTAGACACCCAATTTTGTCCGGACCTATAAATAAGGGAATGGACTTCTATTATGAAAGAAAGGAGCTCCCGAAGCATGGAAACAATATCATATGACAACAAAGGGGCCTAAAGCCCAACAAGTTTGATTTAGTAGCCCAGAACGGGTTATTCCAAAACTGGAACGGGGTCGTTCCCAAGCTGGAACGGGCCGTTCCTAATCTGGAACAGGTCGTTCCAAAACTACTAAAAAGGCTAAAAAAAAACTAGCTAAGAACGAGCTAGAATAGGCCTTTCCAACATAGGTTGTTATGAGTTAAGTGCAAGTTTAGAACGAGTCGTTCTAGAATTAGAATAGTTTGTTCCATATTTAAATTTAACACACAATGAACTGACTCAGAATGGGCCATTTCGGGCCGTTCTAGTCAGTTCTGATGTCTATAAATAATAGACTCGGGTACTACTCCAAGGGCCAAAATAATTCATCCAGGACTGCATATAGGTCAAAAATTATCTCTCTCCCTCTTCTTTCTGTATATCTTGAGATTTTTGAGGTACTTGTGTAGTGTGTAAGGCAGCCAAAAAGTGCCTCAAATCTCCTATATTTGAAGAACATTAATAAAGCTTGCTACGAGGTATTATTCATCAACCTTTCTCCCTATGTTCTACTTCTTTTATTTTAAATATTGATATAATAATAGTAATCATGTAGATATTCTAGGGTCAATCATCTAATTTAAATTTCATGTAAATAATCATTAATAAAAAGGATCAAATATTTAAACTATCAATTCTGATTACGTTAGCTTCATTATAGGGTACCGATTAAGGGCGTTGTAGGGGTGCTTAATACCTTCCCTTCACGTAACTGGCCTCCAAACTCAATTTTGGTTATCAAGACCATCATTGGACTTTTAAAAAACATATTCTTTTTCCAATGTTTTTGAGTAAAACATTGGTGGCGACTCCTACAAACCATTTATTAAAAACCATTAATTAAGGATTAGTCTGGTTTCTGGGCATTCTTTAATTGATGAGATTTTTAATTAGAAGTCTTAAACCATTGGTCGTAAGATCAAAATTTTTTGGGTTACGACAGATGGCGACTTCACTAGGGATGTTTAAAGAGGGTCAGGCCTAAATAATTGATGAAGCTAGCAAAATAGCAATAATAGTTTAAACATCTTTTCCCCTTTACTTTGTTTGTTTTACTTGTGTGGCTTTAATATGTTTGTTTGTTTAAATTTTGCATTTGTTTGAATTAACAACTGTACAAAAGTCATAGCACACAATAGTTCGCTCTATACCCAGGGGCATGAGAGCATAAACATAGGAAGTGGTTGACGTACGACCGGCCCAAGTATTAGAGTCTGCAAGCCTTGTTAGAAATCACACTCAAGGTGATAACCGGTTATTCTAACCTGAAATACTACAGAAAACCTTAGAGTTTGCCAGGTGATAGTGATAGAGGTATCGGGTCCCTATAATGGGGGCACCTTCGGAGCCCTTAAAGACTAGCGAGATTAGAACCATCCTGTACAATGCACTTGTCTTGACAGGGACCATTGACCAAGGATTTGGACGTGACTGTTTGTGGGTTACGTTGCATGAGCATATGTTTGTTGCATTTTGTTTATTCAAACCGTTCATTTATTTTTTATAATTCCCCTAAGGTAAAGAAAAACACAAAAAATGCACTATCATGAGAACCTAGTGTGAAAATAAGATCTGTGAGAAGCATACATCCCTTCTTTAAAAAATGGGGGGTATCATGCATTCCCAAAAATAAAAAAAATAGAGAGAGAGGGAGAGTAAAAAGAGAGACATGCATACCATGTATAGGATCACCAAAGGAATTTCTATCGAAGATGAGAAAT